GCCGTTTCTGCTTCAATTTCAACTCAGTCTCCCAAATCTATTCCATATTAATCAATAGGTTGTCAGACAGAATACATGTGGGTAAAATCTTCTGCCCCTACCTTGATATATTCTGCAGCCATGAAAAACCTACACAAGAAACATCCAATTCGCAAACAATCATACAATCTAAGGCATCTTGTGTTAAGGTTTCGTTCTTATCTAGGAAAGTCTAAAACAGGCACAACTGAGAAACAAACTGTAACAAGCAATTCAAATGTAGGTCTGAAACTTACAAAAAGAAACAAAGTGGTACAACCCCAAAATATCTAGGTCCAAATCTTCAAAGCTTTGGATCATGTCCGACCATAATGATTTTGTATTTATGACGATGGTTCAAATACATATTTACTTGCTGTCACAGGAAAACATTTAATTACAGACTCAATTTGTCCACGACGATCTCTGCGGAAGCGACCATTCTCCTGCAATACTAAAACCTGTCAACCCATTTAATGTTTTTGTATCATCAAGTTAGAATTTGAAAAAAGCCTAACTGGCTTTTATATGAAACTATGTGCTGTCAAACTTAAACCCTAAATTTGCATGAATGTTCCTGATGCTATAAAATGTTGTTCTTTCTGATAAACAAAATAACATAGCTGACGAGTGTATCCCAAAGTACTCTGCAATTCCTCACGTTCGAACACCATGGTCCAACGACAACAGCAAACAGCTGAGTAGACACAGAAAAAGACTGAGCATTATTTCCGGCGCCATCCCATGGTCCACAATTTAAATAGATTCAAGATTGTAAATCCTAAAGAACTATGGCCATACTTTTAAACAGTCTAGCCGACATTATGTATCCAAAATGAATTCACGCACGTCGATGTTTAAGGTATGGAACATTATCCAGAAAAGCAAAGGTAAGGGCTCTGAATCTAGTATTCATCATCTTAGACACAGAGTCCAACTATTTACTATTAAATTCGATGTTGCTTATACACTTATCTCATTATGTACTTCAATTCCCAGATATTGGATATGGTTATACCTGTTATATATACAGATTGTCATACAATAATGTGTTTCCGATTGTCTCTTATATATGAGAGTTGTCCCTGTGCTAAACGTACAAAGACAACCGGTATGAACAAATTCCTTCAGCATTTGTAGTTGATAAAACCTTGAAATTGCCTGACGTGGTAGCGATAGACGTTGTTTTGTTGAAACGTCTGTTGAACTCCGTGTGCCAATGGGAGCAGAACGTCTAGGTCGCGTAAAATAGAAAATAGACTATAAAGATGTAAAACGATTGCAGCCCATGCAAATACCCCTTTCTTGCCTAAATATCATCCATGTTTCATATATATTTATGAGAAAGTGACGCATTTTTCACGAAACTTCAGACGATATTTCCTTTAACGTTTGACATACTGTCCTGGACCTTTGAAGAGCCAGATGCCACTTTATCTGGGGTCACCATATAGATAGAAGGGACCAATGCCACATGGGTCTGAGACTGGAACAATCCAAGCAAAGTTTTTGAGAACCCGTGTGGTGAAGTATCAATTCCATTTGCCTCAAATAAAAGGAATGAACACAGACCTTGGGTCCACAGAAGCATGGTTAACAATCCGGGTTTTGGAGTGACATTATTACGTCACACATTGCAAGTTATTTGATGAAACTATCAATATTATTATGTTTACATAATAAGGGTTGTTCAATTAAAATCTTATCAGCGGGTATCTTAACAGAATAGTGAAGCTGCATGAATCTATTTTACGAGCATTGGACTAACCACTCTGAAAAATAGAAATAGAGTTTACAACACAGGTGCTTGTCAGTTTCCATTGTTGAAAATAGTTGTTTCAAAATTTATTCAACGAGCGAAATGTTTCTGCTACATCTGGTCATGGTCAAGCTAGATAAGACCGAGGAAAACTGATTAAACATTTTAAAACGACGATGTTGGAAGGCAGCGTTGCACAAAACAATCTTAGCGCTAAGAAAGACTACCTCAAGTCATGTTAAGGTATGGGAGTCACAGTCACCATAGCGCTGAGATCACTTTGTACTACAGCTCCCAGATGTAGAGGATTCTACTCCTTGAAAGTGTAAACACTGACAGGTTGTAATCGTCGAAATCAGAGGCTTGTTTTGATAATTAAGTCGCTCTGATCCGTACTAGTGTAAAAGTGTGCGTTCAATGTGCTCCCCATAGACCGGATCCGAACATACTGAGGAGAGTTTGTCATTGTCTGTGATCCGGGTACTGAAATGTGACATTTCTGACATTACGCTCCATATTGAGTTGGTACTTCGTTGTCACAAGTTTGTTTTCTCGTGGCCCTAGAATGCAACTAAGGATGATACTGATGTTACTGTATCTTGAAGATGAACTGAGCTTGCAGGTGTTAACACTCCGCATGTTTCGATGATAAGAAAGTTGCCTATAGGAATATTATACGCAGTGACATGTCGTACTGTGACGATAGTTCCCCCTTCTCCCCTTCATGATAGCGTGAAGATTTACACTGTGGATATCAAAATGAGTGGTGCTGTCCACAGCATGGTGCTCAGAGTGGGTTCCGGAGTGTAGGGACTAAGCTGGTTTGGTTCGTAGAGTTTAATGTCGTTATCAGTCACAGATAGAGCAAACCGAGGTAGGTTACCCATACCCTCACTCTTTAGGACGTTTTGGTTTAATGTCGTTATCAGTGACAGATTGTTCACTCCGACGTAGGTTACCAATACCCTCACTCTTTAGGACGTTTGGTTTAATGTGGTTATCAGTGACAGATTGAGCACACCGAGGTAGGTTACCCATACCCTCACTCTTTAGGACGTTTTGGTTTAATGTGGTTATCAGTGACAGATTGAGCACACCGAGGTAGGTTACCCATACCCTCACTCTTTAGGACGTTTGGTTTAATGTCGGTATCAGTGACAGAATGAGCACACCGAGGTAGGTTACCCATACCCTCACTCTTTAGGACGTTTGGTTTAATGTCGGTTATCAGTGACAGATTGAGCACACCGAGGTAGGTTACCCATACCCTCACTCTTTAGGACGTTTTGGTTTAATGTGGTTATCAGTGACAGATTGAGCACACCGAGGTAGGTTACCCATACCCTCACTCTTTAGGACGTTTTGGTTTAATGTGGTTATCAGTGACAGATTGAGCACACCGAGGTAGGTTACCCATACCCTCACTCTTTAGGACGTTTTGGTTTAATGTGGTTATCAGTGACAGATTGAGCACACCAAGAGGTAGGTTACCCATACCCTCACTCTTTAGGACGTTTTGGTTTAATGTGGTTATCAGTGACAGATTGAGCACACCGAGGTAGGTTACCCATACCCTCACTCTTTAGGACGTTTTGGTTTAATGTGGTTATCAGTGACAGATTGAGCACACCGAGGTAGGTTACCCATACCCTCACCCTTTAGGACGTTTTGGTTTGTTTGGATGATAGTAATAAGCTTCTCGGATCAGGGACGAGTTGTAGTGCTTTGTCTTAAGGTGTCAGTCTAAACTTGACAAAATGCCGCGAACAGTGTGTAGATGGTTAGTAACCGCTAACCGTAGATCAATACCACGATGTAGCCAATCACGGACATGGACATTAATGTTTAGTACCAGTTATCTCACATGGGTTTCTCGTCTCCAATGGTGAAAGTACAATATAACTATATAAATTTATCAGCAGTAAATAAATTTCTCCGACAATCCCGGAAACAGTAACTGTAGTCCGCTTTAATGGGTGAGGCTTAATATTGTACATTCATTTGGGACATACACGCACAAACTCGCGGCCAGTTCACCGATCAGAAGCCTGGAATTACAATGAACACAACGGACATTTAATTACAAACATAACATATGTTACATTTTACTAATCATTGTGTAATCATCAACATGTGTGTAACATTATGCTTAGCAGTCACACATAGTTGAATTATATCGTTTAGTTTAGTTTTACGCCGCACTCAGCAATATTCCAACTATATGGCGGCGATCTGTAAATAATCAAGTCTTGACCACACAATCCAGGGATCAACAACATGAACACCGATCTACACAATTGGGATACGATGCCATGTGTCAACCCAGTCAGCGAGCCTGACAACCCGATCCTATTTGTCGCCTCTTACGACAAGCATGGGTTGCTGAAGATCAATTCTAACCCAGCCCTTCACGGGTTGTACAGAAAGTGCAATGTACTAGAGTGAGTGAATGACTTGAGTGTAACCCTGAGTGTTCGAGTTATATCACACAGTGTCATTTGAATGAAGACCGGAAGTCATTTGAATGTGTGAGTAAAACCGGAAGTTGGAGTGGGTATGATGCTGACAAACCTGGAAATATGTTCGTGGAAAACCGGATTTCGAACCCACAATCATGGCATTCTGTTGATACTACGGGACTCAACTCTGTCCGGTGGCTTTACCTCCTCAGGCGACTGGGCCACTCGTGAACCTTACATTTACCAGAAAAACGAAAAAAACCCAAACAATCCCCCTCCGCAGCCCCTACCCCAAACAAACCTCACTATAAGATGGTTTAATAGTTTCACGTGTGGCAACAGTTTACTCGGCAAAATTCCAGCTATATTGCGGCGTTCTGTTAGTAATCGAGTCTGGACCAGCGAGCCTGATCACCCGGTCCCGTTAATCGCCCCTTATGACAAACATAGGATGGTGAAGATTAATTCTAAACCAGATCTTCACGGGTTCATTTCTTTTCTGTATGTTGACCACATACCAACTCGACAACACCTGTCTGTAGCTGTTTGTTATAACAGAATGTGTGTCAAATCCCGTGTTGTTTATGCATTTGTAAACGCTACTTTTAGAACTATAAATGTAATTTCGGCTGTCCGGGAGGTCATCAGGTCCTGAAAATGAAGTATGTAGCCTGTATACTGCATGTACCTTTTATCTACATGTCATGACATAAGCATGAAGATAAGCATTAAATGCAGCTGCTTTACATGGAATCACAAAATCGTGACTCTTGTGTTGTTATCTTTGATAGTAAAAGTATAAAAGAAGATCAACCTTATGACCACGTTACTCTGAAACCATTTCGCTCAACCCTCAGAAATGAAAGTTACACTGTTACTCGTCATTGTCAGCGCTGTTATTGGTGAGTAGATTGGTGAAATTGGTTTGTTAATTTAGCTGATATTTGATGTTTGGGTCAACGTAATGTTTCGATGGCGTTGTTCTGCAATGAGCGGCTTGAGAACAGTGAAGTCAAGCTTTGTGATCCACGCATATAGGAAGATTGGCATGGGGATGTTTATCAAAATGTAGCACAACGGCGGTATCCCGTACTTTCTGTGCATAACGTTCACCACTGAGTGTCTCAGTTACTGTAATGAGATCCAACTTGTAGTCATACGAAAAACAATCCATCACCATAACTGATCCACAACCAACCAGCTCAGTTGGATGGGTCATTTACTAGTGATATACTAGTCAAGACACCTCCAAACGAGAAAACGGCAGTCAGGTCAATGAACCCTAACACCATGAGCTCAAACTGCGTTTATACGGAATCTGCCCCACGCCTGCCCTTGCCTATCTGTGACGTCTGATTGGACGAAGTGTCCCCAGACCAGCATCCCGGAGCCTCCTTCTGATGGTTCTGGTGGAGAGTCGGACTCTTCAGGGTGGGTCACAGGATTGTGTCTTGCTAGACCAATATGGCATTGGTCTTCCTTAGTCTTCCAGGGGTTTTACTTCTCCAGTGACTATGTGTTTCCCCCAAAAAATTTAAAAATTGCTCTTGGTGTATAATTTATGTTCATGATGTATATAACCTAATAAGCTACATCGCCACCTCGCCTTAACGAGAACCCAATCACGTGCCCACCTCAGTCTTAAGGGATCCCAAACACATAACCACCTCACCCTTTCGGAAACCGTGTCCTTATTGACTGAACGAAGGCAGCAGATATTGAACAAAGGCACTTGGCCACTGAAATACCGCATGTTCTCCATGGGCTGCAGTGTGGAACAAGACCGTAGCCCAATAGACAGTCTAGCGTCAAACCGGCCAAATACGCTAATCCATCCACCATCCACCAAGAATCATTTCAACAAAAAAATTAAAAAGTATGACTCATCTTTGGACCAAATGTTGATACGTTTCTTCTTTCGTTGCATCAGTTGTGATCTCCAGCGAGATTTGCAGAGATGATAGTGACTGTTCTCACGTGACATGTGACAGTACCTCGAGACTTGCCTGCTCTCATGGACTATGCACCTGTCTGGTTGCAGTCAATGCTGGTTCCTGCTTTTCAGGTAACACATTAATGGTCTTTGAAAATAAATGTAGCCTGTAAATTTCATTCGTGAGCGTATTATTAGGTATTTGGAAAGATTAGGTATAACAGAACGATGCCAAAGAAGTGTATACACCTTGCCTTTTAGAAAGTCTTAATAACTACAGTCGGCAAATTTGATTCGTGAACATATTATTTTGGCATTTGGAAAGATTGTTTTATAACAGAAAGAGACAAGTAACAACTATACACATTGGCTTTCCGAAAGCTGTCAAATTTAACACGTTATATTTTGGATTGCACTTAACGTACAAAATTCCAGTTCCGTTTTGGTGTTGAGTTTCATCCGTGATTCCAACCAGCACTCTCGGAGTGAAGCACCAAACCAGCACACAAAAAGAGAGATCTAACCCACTTACTTCTTCAAAAATGGTCACTGCTCCCAATCACAACCGTCCATTTTATTTTTGTGCTTCGGTAGCTTGATATGATACTGACGGTTTGGATAACTGTAGGGTGTCAGAACAAGCACACGACAGAAGCTGTCTAATCACATCACACCACTGAGAGCTGTTTGTGTACTATGGTGACCAAGAGGGACGTTCATATTTCAGCCACGTGTACCGCCCGCGCCGACTGCGACAGCTGTCAGTGTAGAGACAGCCACACAGAACGTCACTGTTTCGACGGCCACTGTCTCTGTGGACGTGGTGCTTCTGGACCTGGTGGACCTGGCGTGTAAGTAACTATACTCAGCTTCATAACTGAAGGGTCGCCTAGGTGTGTAAGTAACTATACTCAGCTTCATAACTGAAGGGTCGCCTAGGCGTGTAAGTAACTATACTCAGCTTCATAATTGAAGGGTCGCCTAGGTGTGTAAGTAACTATATTCAGCTTCATAATTGGAGGGTGTCCTAGACATGAAAGTAACTATATTCAGCGCCATTATTGACGGGTTACCAAGGTATGTAAGGTGTGGAACATGAATATATCCTAACATGCGTCAATACGATGAATGTACAATTATACTAATTAGAAAGTAACACATGCTATATTTGGGAGTACAATTTCTCAGTAAAGTACAGATTCTAGTACTTTTGTTGGTTTGAGTAGCATGCGGCATTCAAACCCATCTAACCCACTCGGCCGCGGCCGCTTGTATGAGGTAACAGATCACTAAAATCAGTGCTGTCACCTGGAGTTGGTGTTTATGTCGCATTTGTTTATTAAAACAACCAGTGTCAAGCCTGGTCTGAGCTCAATGAATAACACACTGATTAATTCCAAATTGGATGTGTCAAGGGTCAAAGTGAAATGTTCAGCAACCGCTGTCATATAGCGGGGGAGCATGTTCATCGTGACTTCCTCTACACTATTGGTAGACACAGATGTCAGCGTCTCTTTATTGAACAAATATCTGCAGTTCATATTACAGTTCTTACTAAATTTTCAACTCTGATGAAACAAGTTAAGAAATGTCATTCATCTCTTGCTGTTTACTTTCAGAGGGAAATAAAGAAGGAGAAGCCCCCATGGAAAATTTTCATATCAAGTGAATATTTGTACATGTACACTGTACAATAAACCCATTTGACTAGTTTGTGTTGATCCTGGCTTCTAGTTATGGAACTACAGCGTGGCATGCATACACTTGTGGAATATATCCCATGGCTCTTTCACGTTGATAGTCTCTCCGCATCAGATCACTACTATATAAATAGTATATATAATATACAATATATAGACTTGCATTTCTGTACACAATATTGCAACAGTTGCGTCCATTAAGGGACAAAATGAATTCTTTTTCATTCCCAGTTGCTTAGCTGACTAATCGACTGTTGGTTTTTATGTGGCTTTGAACGACATAACTAAGTCATTTTTGGAAATTGGAAATATGTTAATGCATTGTACCTAAAGTGGATTCCACAGTTATTTAGGTCATCTTCATTGTTATGACACTTTCAAGAGGCCTGTTCAGATTTAGAGGGATGATAATGCAATATTTTCAGACCAAGTGAGGGTCAGGAGCGGGCATGTTTCAGCGCATTGTCCGTCGTCTCTTGAAGCTGTTACGGTCTCTACATTATCCTCTGAAAGTCTGTGACGCTGAAAATTTGCATGAATGGCCCTTGTCGCGGTGGCGATATCGATCATGCTATGCTTGCTCCAATAGACATTTCTTCCTAAAATTTGATATGCAAATTTGAAACCCTAAAATCAAACATTTCCAGTATGAAACCAAGAAACACTAAAGTTATTTGAATATAAACGGCAGTTTAAAATTTGCTTGCTTTACAAATCAATGCAAATGACTGTATTGGAGTTCAATAGCAGTAGACAAACCAGTCGCCGTGCAATTACAATGGTAGTTTAATAAAAGAATAGCTGTGATAATAGTATTACAGCCTGTAATAACTACAGTGTTAACCAAGCAGGAACAGTGTTCAAGCTTGTGACTCAGTTGAAGGATCGCTGTTTGTTGATGATTTTAAGATTTCTTTTTCGCGGCAGGCACTCGTGTAAAGCCACCTCCTCGTGGTGTGTGCTGGGGTAACGCTACTAGCTCTTCCCCAGTGTGGACCCGGGGTAGAATAGGTCCTCAGCACGCCAATGCTGGTCATGAGAGTCAAGGTTTCACATCACAGGACTCTCAACCATAGGAAATCGCTGTCCGTGACACAGGACGTTGTCTATCAGACATGAATGAAGTAGACATCAGAGCTAAACTCTCAAGGAGATACGGCTGTGACACGTGTTACGTGTAAAAGATAAAATGAAATTATATAATTCAATACCATCTTGGTTACTTTCTGCCTTTCATCGCGCCCAGACTCACTTAAAGCTGATTATTTCACATAACGGTTGATGCTTACATTCCTTGTCCCCTGAGGTAGTATGATCATGATTCTAAATCATGCCCAAACCTGCCATCGAAGTGGTGACGGAACATGTGAAGACAGAAACATCTGTGATAAACCATATGCCTGTGTACACCGCCCTAGAAGTCACCCTTCGTCTTCCAGAGAATGCCCTGCATGGAAACGTCAGTCCAAAACAAACATATCACCTTTCTGGAGGCACATACGTTTGTTGTAGGTCAGGAACACCCTGGTCCGTCTTCTGCCGCGGCCGTTTCTGCTTCAATTTCAACTCAGTCTCCCAAATCTATTCCATATTAATCAATAGGTTGTCAGACAGAATACATGTGGGTAAAATCTTCTGCCCCTACCTTGATATATTCTGCAGCCATGAAAAACCTACACAAGAAACATCAATTCGCAAACAATCATACAATCTAAGGCATCTTGTGTTAAGGTTCTGTTCTTATCTAGGAAAGTCTAAAACAGGCACAACTGAGAAACAAACTGTAACAAGCAATTCAAATGTAGGTCTGAAACTTACAAAAAGAAACAAAGTGGTACAACCCCAAAATATCTAGGTCCAAATCTTCAAAGCTTTGGATCATGTCCGACCATAATGATTTTGTATTTATGACGATGGTTCAAATACATATTTACTTGCTGTCACAGGAAAACATTTAATTACAGACTCAATTTGTCCACGACGATCTCTGCGGAAGCGACCATTCTCCTGCAATACTAAAACCTGTCAACCCATTTAATGTTTTTGTATCATCAAGTTAGAATTTGAAAAAAGCCTAACTGGCTTTTATATGAAACTATGTGCTGTCAAACTTAAACCCTAAATTTGCATGAATGTTCCTGATGCTATAAAATGTTGTTCTTTCTGATAAACAAAATAACATAGCTGACGAGTGTATCCCAAAGTACTCTGCAATTCCTCACGTTCGAACACCATGGTCCAACGACAACAGCAAACAGCTGAGTAGACACAGAAAAAGACTGAGCATTATTTCCGGCGCCATCCCATGGTCCACAATTTAAATAGATTCAAGATTGTAAATCCTAAAGAACTATGGCCATACTTTTAAACAGTCTAGCCGACATTATGTATCCAAAATAAATTCACGCACGTCGATGTTTAAGGTATGGAACATTATCCAGAAAAGCAAAGGTAAGGGCTCTCAATCTAGTAATCATCATCTTAGACACAGAGACCAACTATTTACTATTAAATTCGATGTTGCTTATACACTTATCTCATTATGTACTTCAATTCCCAGATATTGGATATGGTTATACCTGTTATATATACTTATTGTAATACAATAATGTGTTTCCGATTGTCTCTTATATATGAGAGTAACCAAAATTAAACACTTAAGTAGTTCAGGTACATATGATGTTACTAACTCAACAGGCTCCCTACCCCTGGCGTTAAACTTCCAACGTACAAAGAAGCTTCAGAAAGCTTAGGAGTGAATGTCCTTTTTAAACACAAATTTATAAGGTTATCATATGATTTATTAGAAAAGAGGTGATAAGATCTGAAGAGGTTTCCCTGACGCCTTCATCTTCATTTATGTTACCAACAGGGTAATGTTTCAAAAACTAGCACCATTCTTCCCAACAAACTTTCATAGGGTCAAATGATATTTCCAAGAATGCCCATACAGGAACCGCGCGTGTGTAATAACAGTTAAAATTAAGAGTGCTCAGTTTATGAAACAAGCATTGGAATGGAATACGACGTAGTTATACCTGTTATATATGATGTAATCATGTGTTTCAGAGTGTCTTTCATGTCCTACCCGTGAAGATCCGGGCTAGAACCGGGTTAGTGACCCATGCTTGTCGTAAGAGGCGACTAATGGGATCGGGTGGTCAGGCACGCTGACTTGGTTGACACATGTCATCGTATCCCAATTGTGTAGATCGATAGTCATGCTGTTGATTACTGGAGTGTCTGGTGGAAACTCATTTACAGACCGACCTGGAATATTGCTGAGGGCGGCGTGAAACTAAACTCACTCACACTTGTATATCCATACATACGCAAGTATCAGCAATTACAGATCTCACTCCCAAAGCAAGTGTTTTCGACAACATACCAACCTGGCAATACCTCCAACAAAATGGCGTCACCACAGAGGATGTTGGAGAAGAATGACTGAGTTCGCCACTGTGTGAAATGTGCCTATATTCTTGGAGGGTCGGGATCTGTCAGTTCATCCATTCATGACGTCCTCTACGATATTTCAGATATTGACTTCATCACCGACTTGATGTTTATCGTGGTCATGTGTGTTGTATGGAGTGTCGCATGCGTTGACAGTCTGACATGATATACAATACAGGCGATATAGACAATTTGCGAACGTTCATATAGGAAACTGTTTTTGTATATGTGATATTTGTATATATGATAGTTCTAAAGAAACAAATATTTGCTTCTCCTGGCTATTAGCTGTTTTTACTGATTCATTGTCATCCATGTAGTACATGCACATTTAGGAGATAGACATACTGTGGGGGAAAACAGGTATAACTACGTCGTATTCCATTCCAATGCTTGTTTTAAATATAAAAAATAGAGCTATTATAATTTCGTTATATATCTCTGATTTTCCAACACAGTACGTTTATCTCCATTCTACCATAACCGCGTTATTAAGATTTAAAAAAAATACATACTGTGTTGGAAAATCAGAGGCATATAACGTGATTATATACCTGTGAATGATTAACTAATCACAATCCAGTATGTACTTAAGTCATGGTAGAATGCCGTTTCTGTTACTGGTTTAATCTATTGGGGCTAGTTTGTGAATGTGTGGCTGCTTGCATCATACATTACAATTCCTTCAGTCACTTTGGTACTAACTTCTATCTTTGTTAATGTTGGGCCTTGTGTCGCTGTGTATTGTTATTGATTCTACCATGACTACGTGAAATACTCGAATTTGATTGGACAATCAATAAAATTAGACACTATCAATCCTGGATTGAAAATGCGTCTGATTTCATGACCGTTTCACTGCGCACGTATACACCACTGCCGCACTACTTCAGCTTTGCTCACCAACATGGCTAATATCAACACAACAGACGTGATGGAAATACTTATAAAACAGTTATTAAACTCGAAAAATACAATTATATGATTTTTCCTCAACAATTATTAGGGAACCTCACTATCACATTACCTTGTATTATAAAAATATTCAAACTTAATTACAATGCACAGCCCCAAACATAAACAAACAATATCTAACTTATAAATCAGAAAGCCTTGTAAAATTACATCCCCATCTATACAAAATTTGCAGCAAAACGTTAGCAAACATTTTCCTAGCTGGTAAATGGTATAGTTGCTTCGTTTAGAATGTGAAATTCACAAGATAACGGTCAGGCGAAACACCAAATTTGTGCCACTCTTACTCCATCATGACCCGTTGCATCGTTCAAAAAATGCAAGACACTTTTGCTTGGCTGCTTCCCTCTGAGCTCCTTCTCCTTTGGCAGCCAGGCTGTTTTCGGTCGTGTGAAAGTGGGCTTATAAAAACCAAGCTCTTAGGTATTACATTATTGCATTGAATAAACAGTAGTTTGTTTTCTTAGGACAGAATATTTTTGTTGTAATATTTAAAACAATACGTACGGCACCTACCACTCCCTTCACAGACGAGTTCATTTCGCCTCTCGTCGCATGCCGGAACGAAAAAGTTCGATTTTAAATCGGTTATGGTAGAATGGAGATAAACATACTGTGTTTGGAAATTAGATGAATGTTAGACCGAATTGATAGTCTCTAGATTAATCATTTGAAACCTAACATTCATCTAATTTCCAAACACAGTACGTTTATCTCCTAAGTATTTACTTACTTGTCTGATTAGATGCATTACCTATCATGATGTTCTGGTATCTTAGTCCTAAAGCGCTAAGGTGATCTTAACTCCCATACTTTAACATCTATATAGACTTAAGACAGTCGTAGTGCTACGGTCGCTTTGTGAAAGGGGCACCTGCTTCCCACCGACTTCTAGGTTCGTCAGCACCATGCCCTGCTCTGTGGTGCCACCAAGGGGGTATATGCCTGTGACTGACATCACTTGTTATTAGTTACGGTTAGTTGCTATTGGCTGTCATAACTTACATGACACGTAGTAGTTTGAGTATTACAATTAGTATATTTAGGACTGGCGGACGAGTGCACTGCATTCATTAGTCCCAAGTTATGTCGATGCGAGCATGTGAGTCATTGCTTCATGTGTTTTGAGTGTGTTGACCATATACCACCTCGACAATACCTGACTGTTGCATTTTTTTATAACAGTATTTGTAAGCAATCGTGTCGTCTATGTATTTAAAAATCCTACTTTAGATCTACAAACGTGACCAGATAGCTGTCCGGGAGGTCATCACATCCCAATTAATGAACCTTCGTTCAAAAAGTAGTCGACCTAACTGTATTCTCGATGTCCAATGTTTGAAAAGCTACCATTCTATTTTGAGGGAATCGTTAGCAAAGCAATATCCAACATTTTACATATGTGGCTAATGTGGTTAACGAGATATTAGTCATCACAACACATTGGGGTATAATATTTCTTAGAAAATTGCAGAACATGAAAAACGATCTGTCATTTGGTACCTCTTGGATAATGGTATGCCCTCAGATAATATTATATAAAAGCATAGTATTGGATGACTTCCCGTCTGGACTGTTTTTTAACGACCCCTCAATTTTAATCTTTCAAAAACATTGTGTCCATACATTCAAGCCGGCTCTGCTTACAGAATATTGAGAGATTACACTTGTGTGACCATTCAGTATTTAGTTTGAACCCTTGGCATCATGTATGAATAAGTGAAAACATTAGAATAAATTATGTCCTTATGATTACTTCACCTGAAAGGGCTGTGGGCAGTGTAACCAAAACAAGCTCCTTCAGTAAAAAGGAAGGGGTGGGTCACTTTAACAAGCAATTGTAGTTTCAAATTACTTTTTTATGCAGTTTAATACCTAAGTTTGATTCTAGCGGACTTCTGTCTATCTCTAACATACAAAATATTTCTTGCATATTTTTGATTCCTGAAGATTGCGATGCATTTATTGCAGATTTTGGGAGAACCCAACACAATCATGTACCCACCTCACTCTGACGAGAACCCAATCATGTACCCACCTCACTCTTACGACAACACAATCATGTACCCACCTCACCCTTACGAGAACCCAATCATGTACCCACCTCACTCTCACGAGAACCCAATAATGTACCCACCTCACACTTACGAGAACCCAATCATGTACCCATTTCACTCACACGACAACCCAATCATGTACCCACCTCACTCTTACGAGAACCCAATCATGTACCCACCTCACCCTTACGAGAACCCAATCATGTACCCACCTCACTCTTACGAGAACCCAATAATGTACCCACTCTCACTTACGAGAACCGAGAACCCAATCATGTACCCACCTCACTCTTACGAGAACCCAATCATGTACCCACCTCACCCTTACGAGAACCCAATCATGTACCCACCTCACTCTTACGGGAACCCAATAATGTACCCACCTCACTCTCACGAGAACCCAATAATGTACCCACCTCACCCTTACGAGAACCCAATCATGTACCCACCCCACTCTGACGAGAACCCAATCATGTACCCACCTCACTCTTACGAGAACCCAATCATGTACCCACCTCACCCTTACGAGAACCCAATCATGTACCCACCTCACTCTTACAGGAACCCAATAATGTACCCACCTCACTCTCACGAGAACCCAATAATGTACCCACCTCACTCTTACGAGAACCCAATCATGTACCAACCTCACTCTCACGAGAACACAATAATGTACCCACGTAACTTTTACGCCAACCCAATCATGTACCAACCTCACTTTTACGTCAACCCAATCATGTACCCACCTCACTTTTACGACAACCCAATCATGTACCAACCTCACTTTTACGAGAAACCAGTCATGTACCAACCTCAATCTTACGGGAACCCAATCATGTACCCACCTCACTATTACGAGAACCCAATCATGTACCCACCTCACTCTTACGAGAACCCAATCATGTACCCACCTCACTCTTACGAGAACCCAATCATGTACCCACCTCACTCTTACGAGAACCCAATCATGTACCCTACTCACTCTGACGAGAACCCAATCATGTACCCATCCCACTCTTACGAGAACCCAATCATGTACCAACCTCACCCTTACGAGAACCCAATCATGTACCCACCTCACTCTTACGAGAACCCTGTCATGTACCCACCTCACTCTCACGAGAACCCAATAATGTACCCACCTCACACTTACGACAACCCAATCATGTACCAACTTCACTTTAACGTCAACCCAATCATGTACCCACCTCAGAAACCAGTCCTTTTACGACGACCCAATCATGTACCCACCTGACTCATACGAGAACCCAATCATGTACCCACCTCACACCTTTACGACAACCCAATCATGTACCCACCTCACTCTTACGGGAACCCAATGATGTACCCACCTGTACCCACCCCTTACGGGAACCTAAGAATGTATGTACCCACCTCACTCCTCACGAGAACCCAATCATGTACCCACCTCACTTTTACGACGACCCAATCATGTACCCACCTGACTCATACGAGAACCCAATCATGTACCCACCTCACTCTTGCGACAACCTAAGAGGTTTTGTTAATGCACTTTAATATCTAAGTTTGATTCTAGCGGACTTCTGTCTATCTCTAACATACAAAGTGTTTCTTGCATATTTTGTTTTCTGAAGTTTGTGATGCATTTATTGCAGATTTTGCGTTTTTCGGGGTACCAGGATAAAAAGTCAAACAAAATGGGGGATCGTGAGGCTGGAATGTTGACAGATAATACGTAGAAAAATAAAACAAAAGCACCTGCAATTTTATCATTTTCTTGGTGAGACCGACTACATTTAGAACGACTCTCGCATGTCACCTGCTTACTGCATGTATCTTTATCTACACGGGAAGATAAGTCTTGCATGCAGCTGCTGTACATACATTGTGACTCTGGCTCACGGGATTGGTGTTTGTTTAATGGGAAGTAGAAGTATATAAGGAGGATCAACTGTATGAATACATTAATCTGAAAGCATTTTGCTCAACCATTAGACATGAAAGTTACACTGTTTTTCGTCATTGTAAGCGCTGTTATTGGTGAGTAGAATTCGTGACGCATTCAGTTTAAGTTAAGTTATACAGTAGCTGAGCTACTACCAACGGGTTCAGCTCATGGCTCAATCACTGATGACGTTATGGCGTCGCAATACGCAGTAAATAACATGTCGATCAGGACAAATAACCCGACATCATGTCCTCAAATCGTCCTCAGCATCACGCAGACTGATTCCGATGGTATTGGTGGAGAGTCGGGACTCTTTGGCATGGGTCACGGGGCTGCGTCCAGGGAGACATGAGGAGACGTTCATTGGTCTCCTTCAGACTTCCAGGTGTTTTACTTCTCCAGTGGCTACGTCGATTATTAACAATGTGGTTCAAGCTTGCACCGATATTCCGACATGACATCCCTGCGTCATGCATGAAAATAACATCCTGTATTTTCGGAAAGTCTACAGCTTACCATGTCCAGAAAAGTTTAGTTTTGGTACTGTCGTCCTCTAAATCAATTCAGAAAAATCACATACTGTAATTATGAAAGTTATACCCCGGTGTGCTTGTTCTCAGAACGTGAAAAAGCTTCATACTTTTGTGAAGAATTTGTTTTACACGTGCACTCCACTATGCGTGGGAGTGATCAACTGTTGGGACCAAAAGTTTAGAAATTGCTCCTGATACAAATTTAATGCTCATGATGTATATTGCCTAAGCTGCATAGGCACTTCATCCTAACGGGAACCCAATGACAAAAAACACCTCACTCTCACTGGAACACAATCATGTACCCACCTCACTTTTACGACAACCCAATCACGTACCAACCTCACTCTGACGAGAACACAATCATGTAGCCACCTCACTTTTACAACCCAATCATGTACCCACCTCACTTTTACGACAACCCAATCATGTACCCACCTCACTTTTACGACAACCAAATCATGTACCAAACTCACTCTTACGGCAACACACCCGTGAAGACTCGGGTTAGAATTGATCTGGTTGACTCATGTCATCGTATCCCAATTGCGTAGATGGATGCTCATGCTGTTTATTGTCTGGTCCAGACTTGATTATTTACAGACTGCCGCCATATATCTGGAATATTGCTGAGTGCTGCGTAAAACTAAAACGCACTCACTCACTCACTTACGGGAACCCAATCATGTGCTCATCTCGATCTCACGAGAACCCTGTCAAAACTGAGTGAACGGAGGCATATTTTGAATAAAGCACTTGCCGAGTGAAACACTCCATGTTCTTCATGGGCTGCAGTGTGGAACAAGAACGAAGCCCAAAGGACCCTTTACAGTCCAACCCGCAAAACACGCTCATCCATCCACTTGCGCAATACAAAATATGTTATTAAAAGGTGTGACTCACGTGCTCCACAGAGGATTACCCAAATGTTTATATGTTGCTTCTTTCTTTGCATCAGCTATGATCTACAGCGAGACCTGCGGAGATGATAGTGACTGTGCCCACGTCACCTGTAGCAGTGGCTCAAGACTTGCCTGCTCTCATGGACATTGCACCTGTCTGGTTGCAGCCAATGCTGGTACCTGCCTGTCAGGTATGTCAGTTACGAAAAAAAAAATCTTAATAACTACAGTCGGAAAATTTGATTCGTGAATATATTATTTTGGCATTTGGAAAGATTGTTTTATAACAGAAAGAGACAAGTAACAACTATACACATTGGCTTTCCGAAAGCTGTCAAATTTAACATGTTATATTTTGGATTGCACTTAACGTACAAAATTCCAGTTCCGTTTTGGTGTTGAGTTTCATCCGTGATTCCAACCAGCACTCTCAGAGTGAAGCACCAAACCAGCACACAAAAAGAGAGATCTAACCCACTTACTTCTTCAAAAATGGTCACTGCTCCCAATCACAACCGTCCATTTTATTTTTGTGCTTCGGTAGCTTGATATGATACTGACGGTTTGGATAACTGTAGGGTGTCAGAACAAGCACACGACAGAAGCTGTCTAATCACATCACACCACTGAGAGCTGTTTGTGTACTATGGTGACCAAGAGGGACGTTCATATTTCAGCCACGTGTACCGCCCGCGCCGACTGCGACAGCTGTCAGTGTAGAGACAGCCATGCAGGCACACAGAGAAACACTGCTTCGACGGCAATTGTCTCTGTGGGCGTGGTGCTTCTGGACCTGGTGGACCAGGCGTGTGAGTAGGTATACTCATAGACAATAACTGACGGATCACCTATGTGTGGAAGGTGTGGCACATGAATATGTCCTAACAAGCGTCATTACGATGCGAGCACATGTTGCCATTTAGAAATTGGCCAAATGTAACACATGTTATATTTGGGATTACACTTTCTTAGTAAAGTACATATTCTAGTACTTTTGTTGGGTTGAGTAACATCCGGGATTCGAACTCACACTCTCAGAGTCAGGAACCTAATCGCCAGCACACAAGGTAATCTGTCTCGATGTCTCGACTATCAAAACAGACGTGAAGGTGATATACTTAGATAATATACATCAGTACTGTCACCTGGAGTGGCTATGTCGCATTTGTTTAAGAAGACGACCAGTGTCAAGCCTGGTCTGTGCTCAGTGAATAACACAAGGATTCATTCAAAACTGGATGTGTCGAGGGTCAAAGTGAAATGTTCATCAACCGCCGTCATACAGCGGTAAAACACGTTCATCGTGACTTCCTCTACACTGTTAGGAGACACAGGAGTTGGTGGACAGGGTGGAACAAACATCTGCCGTCCATACCATACGTCTTTATATATGTTCAATGTCTGCTGAAACAAGTACGGAAATGTCACTCATCACTTATCTGTTTACTTTCAGAGGCAAATAGAGATGGAGAACGCACATGGAAAGTATTCGTACCATATGGATACATACATGTACACTGTTAAATATACCTATTTGTACAATTGTCTGGTTTGTTTTTCTGGCTTCCATACCGCTACTTATGGAAATATTGCATGGTGTGCTTACACCTTTGGAATATACATCATGCGAGACAGCATGAGCATCGATCTACGCGATCTATATGGCTCAGGATTCGCCAACTTAACCTGTTTGCATGTTACTACACAATGTAGTGATAGTTGCGGACAGAAGAGACAGACCGAAGTTGTGGTCGCTCCCAGTTGCTCAGTAGACAACCGCTGGTTTCGTTATGACTGCGAACGACGAAGATGTAAATTGAAATTGTAAATACATGAAAATATTGTACCAAAACTGGATCCCCAAGTTATAAGATGCACAAAACGTTGTAGGGAAAAATTAAATGATCTTTATAAAATTGTTGTCATTATTTGGTTTCTTGATATATGGACTTATGTTATATGGACTTTAGTGAATACTCACGGGGTTTACAGCAAAGTCTATGTAGGCCAATGTGCCGGTTTGTGAGTGATAGTCTTAACGGGCAAAGCACAGGGCAACCTTCGCGACTGTGTGGTGCACCTGTTCCTTCACATGTATGTCTCTTGCTTAAAACCGAGTGAGTGAGTAAGTTATAGTTTTACGCCGCTTTTAGCAATATTCCAGCAATATCACGGCTTGGGACACCAGAAACGTGATTCACACATTGAACCCGGTTCATGGGCGTGGTGAGAGAACGTTTTAACTACAAGGCTACCTCATCGCCCTCTATTGCTTAATACCTAATGGTGAAACTAAACCTGTAGTTATGAACTTACGTCTTGGCTATCTCGTGTGTTGAGATTGCCATCGAGTTATGATAGAGTAAGTATTGTTTAGCATTGAGTTCTTATGACTTATCCATTTTGCGAATATCTGATGCCATGATTGATTTTCATTTATATTTTTACAACATTACTGCCACTAGTACTACTACTACTACTACGTTTTCCTGTACCAGTTAGGCGCTGGGGTGGCCTTGTGGCTAAAACCTTCGCTCGCCACGCCGAAGGCCCGGATTCGATTCTACACATGGGTACAATGTATGAAGCCCATTTCTGGCGTCCCCCTCCGTATTACTGGAATATTTCGAAAAGCGGCGTAAACTAAACTCACTTACTCACCCTATACCACTTAATATATGTGGGTTAAGGAGACGGGATATTTTCTTGCGTTTACATTCTATTTCTATGATTCAATGTGGAGCCATGCTGCTTATATGTGCAAGATTTAGGTTTATGTATTTTGTAAGCTTTGACTGTACATGATCATTATCTAAGAATGCCTTAAGATTATTTAAGAATGCCTTCCGAAAGTAATTGAGAAGGGAGCGCTTTCCTCTGAACATTAGCTGCCGTTAGGATGAGTCCCTTAAATAGGAGGATCTTTGATACTTCAGTGATCAATGCGACTGACGCGTGTGTGTTTTTGTGCGTGCTTATTGTTTTACACAGTAATATATGGAGTCGTGGAAGGGACATTGTGGCGTTGTCGCCCTCTCAAATACAAGCAAATTTAGGCAAAATTAACCAAAACGTGACATGCGACAATGCGACAACGCGACATTTCGGCCATTTGTCGCATTGTCGCGATGTCGCATGTCGCGTTTGGAAAAAATATTTTTTCTATTCCTCCAAAGGGCGACACGCGACATAGCGACAATTTTCAAGGTCAAAATGTGTCACCTTGTCGCCCTATATAAGATGTGTAAAAACAGCCTAAAAATATACTAAAACGCGACACGCGACAATGCGACAAAGCGACATTTTGATGAAATGTCGCCTTGTCGCAATATCGTGTGTCGCGCTTTGTTAAAATATTGAGTATAGTATGTATTATAACATATGACTAAAACGCGACACGCGACAATGCGACAAAATATATGTCGCATTGTCGCATTGTCACGTTGTCGCCCTTTTCTATTACCGGTGCGCATGTGTAGAAAGTCAAAATGTTATACTCTATTTCAGACTTCACTGGTCTTTTGTTACCTCCAATGGTTTTCATAATGAAGCAGTGCTCGTAATGGTAATGGGTACTGCTTTTCTTGAACTTAATGGAAATCTTTTATTGTTACTTTATTATTTTATATATTGTAAATGTGTTTAGCCAATCAAGTGTGTTTTAGCAGCCAGACAAATTATTAGCGCTAACTTTCATTGTAATCACGGCACACGGTGGCCCTGTCATTCAAGGCGAGGCAAATTGCTGTGCAGGGTTGTGTCTCTTAGTCACAGCAGATAATTATGATCATAGGTTCGAATCCCAGCACCATACACATTCATCACTTTGAGCATTTCACCCATATCAAGCTCACAGGTTGTGAAAAAACTGAAATATTGTTAAAATTCAGGCCTAATCGGCATAAACATTAGGTGAAGTCCTCGAAATGGGTCACTATGTTCGACAGTGTGTCTTCTGACAGAGTTTCTTGGCACAGTCCTGTCCGACGCTGATGAATTTGTCCGACATCTGCCTCTGTTCAGCCAGCAGTGGATGGATAACAGGTAGAATGAGATGGTAATATCGCTTAACCATCCAGCATCTCAAAGACAGTTTAGGTCGGCTTTGAACGTGATATTCTTCTTGGGAAAACGCCATACAAATGGACTGTTATAATTATGATATTGGAAACGATGAAATTGCTTGGCAGAGTTGCGTACCCTTGGAGTGCCAGAAACCAACCCTCCCTCCCTCAATCATTCACTCATTCACTCACTCCTTCACTCCGCTCCACTCCGCTCCACTGCGCTCCGCCCCTCTCATTTTCTTCTCCACCCCTCTCCTCTCCGCTCCACTCCATTCAACTCCTCACTCTTTGACTCATTCACTCACTCAAGGTTTAGGGGAGCTTGGTAAATTAGTAAGGCTATTTCATTACAATAATGTGTTGTGATGTCTGTTTTTCAATTCTATTAATTTGAATCCTATATTATTAATCCTGCACATGTCATGATTCACAATATATCGATAATTTTCTCATACGATACTATACCCAGCGATACACATGTGCATGAATAGTTTCAAACATACACCTACTCAATCATAATAAATTTCAGCAAAATGGCCAGTTTCAATACATCCATTCCATTAACCAAGAACTCTTAACCCACAGACTTCACGGCCGCATATACGTTCATTTATTGTTCTGAGTTCGATCCCTGTGTATCGAATCGTCAATAATTACATACATCACCAGTTTCTTTCCATTGATGAACACTGACTGTAAGCGAAAGTCCTTCGAGACAAAACTTATGACTCCGAAGAGGTTAGTTCACTATAAAACCTTCATGATGTCATCATGTCATCAGGCTCCGTTCGGGAGTTTGATTGAATCGGATTGCAAAATGAATAAGGGTTTATTTAATACTTTATGCCACAGATCAGCATGAGAACCAAGTGAATGCTGAATAAAACAGTTCGGCCGTTGTCTGAAACCACCGACATAAAGGTTCATAAACTTTTGAAACGTCATTAAATATATATATCTGAATGAAGAGGCATCTATTTTAAATCCTCATATTAATGTCAATACAGAACTATGATGCAACGAATAATATTGTTTGGATCAGTATATTTGGACATGCATTTGGTCAAAGGACTGAAACCGCAAATGCTATTGCGTCCCAATTTTCTATGTGATGAAATCATTACCTATAGCTTAGTAGTCGATCACTTTTATTATGCATCAGCAATGAATCCCTAGTCCCAAACATAGGGAGAATAAAGTAATATAACACAATTCATAAAAGGATTATTGAAAGCTTAAAAAACTGGTTGTGATGGACTTGACTAAAGTTACTTTTTCAGATTTGAACAATTATCAACTCACTAATATATCCCAGATAAATATACTGCACTGTTTCAAAAAGTGATGCCTCGTTTCATTTGACCCCAGTGAAGTGTTATGGAGTGTCTTTTGGCTTGCTGCGTCACAAATCATCTATGGATTTGATCACAATGTCACAGAGTTCAGACCAAGATCTGTTGTGGAGCTTGGTGCTGTTGTACAAAGCGATCTTAGCGCTTAGGTGACCGTATTTCTCGTATCCTAACTAAGGTAGTTCTGGTACCTGAGGTAGTCTTAGCGCTATGGTGACCGTATTTCTCGTACCCTAACTAAGGTAGTTCTGGTACCTGAGGTAGTCTTAGCGCTAAGGTGACCGTATTTCTCGTACCCTAACTAAGGTAGTTCTGGTACCTGAGGTAGTCTTAGCGCTAAGGTGACCGTATTTCTCGTACCCTAACTAAGGTAGTTCTGGTACCTGAGGTAGTCTTAGCGCTAAGGTGACCGTATTTCTCGTACCCTAACTAAGGTAGTTCTGGTACCTGAGGTAGTCTTAGCGCTAAGGTGACCGTATTTCTCGTACCCTAACTAAGGTAGTTCTGGTACCTGAGGTAGTCTTAGCGCTAAGGTGACCGTATTTCTCGTACCCCTAACTAAGGTAGTTCTGGTACCTGAGGTAGTCTTAGCGCTAAGGTGACCGTATTTCTCGTACCCTAACTAAGGTAGTTCTGGTACCTGAGGTAGTCTTAGCGCTAAGGTGACCGTATTTCTCGTACCCTTAACTAAGGTAGTTCTGGTACCTGAGGTAGTCTTAGCGCTAAGGTGACCGTATTTCTCGTACCCTAACTAAGGTAGTTCTGGTACCTGAGGTAGTCTTAGCGCTAAGGTGACCGTATTTTTCTCTAAGGTGAGGTAGGTCTTAGCTTAAGGTGACCGTATTTCGTACCCCTAACTAAGGTAGTTCTGGTACCTGAGGTAGTCTTAGCGCTAAGGTGACCGTATTTCTCGTACCCTAACTAAGGTAGTTCTGGTACCTGAGGTAGTCTTAGCGCTAAGGTGACCGTATTTCTCGTACCCTAACTAAGGTAGTTCTGGTACCTGAGGTAGTCTTAGCGCTAAGGTGACCGTATTTCTCGTACCCTAACTAAGGTAGTTCTGGTACCTGAGGTAGTCTTAGCGCTAAGGTGACCGTATTTCTCGTACCCTAACTAAGGTAGT